TGCTAAAAGTGCATCCTAAAAACTTGGTTTTCTGTTGCAGCAGCACCCAAACATACCCTGAAACTGTTGGATTCAGTCCAAAAAAGTACAATTCGTCTCGTGGCTGATGCCTCATTCACAAACTCACTCACTTCTCTGGAACACCGTAGAAAAGTTGGCGATCTGGCTTTATTTTATAGATATTTTCATGGACGATGACCTTCCGAAATATCAACAGTTGTTCCTCGCTTGACAGTCCCCGCTAGATTTACCAGTCGAGTTGAGGCTTCGCACCTCCCCGTGGTCACTTTCAGAACATCTCTTTCCAAAGACTTGTTCATCCAACGAACAGCGAGGCTCTGGAACACATTGCCAGGGAAGGTGTTTCCGAGGCAAATAACCTTCAGAAATTCAAGAAGAACACCAATTCCTACCTTCTTTCCCTTGGTTCTTACGATGTTTTCTGAACATTACAGGATACTCCTTTTCGTGGGAACCAGAACATAAAAAAAGTTTTTCACGCTGTTTTTAATTCGAAGAACTGACGTTTCCTGATTTCACTGGGAGATATAGATCAAAATGGATCTGGAATTTTTGCAGTAACACTTCCTTTTTCACAAGATGCCTTCATCATATTTTTGATCTGACACGATGATGATTTTCAGATTCGAAACGTTGGAAAATGCAATATGTCGTTGGATTTATTAGAATTCAGTATTCAGTGGCGATGTTAGCTCTTTGATTTGTAGGGGGCTCAAACCCAGTGGCCTCATTTCAGTGGATACCAAGGTGTGAGGAACCTAGAAAAAATGTCGCACAGTTCAAAGTGCGCCACAGTCGGAATTTTTTCGAGGCCCAAGGTTGAATGAATTCAAATTGAAGAGATCTTTTTTTAAGACGACGACTTCATCACTTGATTATGTTACATAGAAAAAGAGCCCTATGTTGTAGGTAACTCAACGAGAATATATTTATGGTTCTGCTCTTGCTTCCACCAGAATAAACAATGAAGTATATTAAAAACGTTTATTACAATGAAATAGATAGAAATGACACTCAATGATTTACTCCCTACAATGGCCAACCCTCCAGATTCTAAACCTAAACCCTATCTCAAGTCTATAGGTCGCGTGCACGCAAGCGTGCACGATGACCGACCCTGGGGGCAAAATATTGAAACACAACCTCACTTTTTTATTTGTTTACAGAGGAATCGAAAGGTTGAAATAGTTTTTCACAATATTTTGGCATACGAATCGTTTTCTTGCGTTGTGCTGTTGTACAATGCACAAAAAATGCAGCAAGAGACTACGGAATATGATTTTTCAGGTAAATAGTAATCTCACATAGTTATCATTATGAAATGTTGTCATTCCTTATTGAAATTCCTCCTGCCTTCTGCCACTTCTGCAATACAAGCTGATACTGCTAATAGATTGAAAATGTCTACAACACACACGATCGTCAGCATATCATACCAGTCCTCCCGATTGATTGCATGAATCCAATCTTCTTGCATTATTCTAGAAATTTCAGGTATATTTCTATTAGCTCCTATTGCAGAAGGAATTCCGATGAGAAATCAGAAAAATAACCAAATTTCAAAAATGAAAACTATATTTGAGTGACTATAGTAGGTACTTACTTTTAAATCATAATGTACCATCCGGATTCCTTCATCTTCCGCTGCAGTTTTTGTGCATTTTACAACAGCACAATGTGATGGCATTAGCGAATTGATGAATAGCGGAAAAATACGATTCATATGCCAAAATAATTGTGGAAATAAACTATTTCCATCACCTGTGAACAAATATGTTTTGCCTCCAGGGTCCGTCATCTGACAGTTCTTGCACGCGACCTATAGCGCTATCTGCGGTTAACCCCCATGAACAAGTTCATATAATTGAAATAATTCTGTAGATTGATGACGAAGATCCCAAAGAAATGCAATTGTAGGCCTGGAAACTCCTTTCACCTTCTAACTGCTACTATACAAGAAAAGCAATATTGCTACTCAAAATATTGATTCGTCTTCCTCGCCACTGCTCTCGCTGCTCCTTGGGTGCACCCTGTAGGCCGGTAAACTGGCCGTGAATCAACTATCAACTCCGCTCCTCACTCTGTGATATCCAGTATCGTCAGAATACTGGTTTCATGCAAAAATCGTCCGCTTATTTTCTTGATGATGAACTTTCTTTTTCACTTGACAACTTGTCAAAAATCCTCTTTTATTTTTTCCTTTATTTTGACAACGTCCTCCAGTTTTCAATGCCTTTCCTTCAGAGTTAATTTCAATTCGCACACTTCCCCCTTACAACTAGAAGTACCTACAAAACCAAGCATCTGATAGTTTGAATAAAAACACTAGTGAAATAAAATGAACTGAAACCACGACATACCAGGCGCGTTACACATATTATTCAGTTTTCTGTTCGCCTTTTGTTTTAATTGGTACAAAATGATCTGGAAATGAGAACAATATGGAGAGCAAGAGAAGAGTATTCTGATTCCTTTATTCTATCAGTAGGTGGATTTTCATTTCTCGAGATTTCTTGAGATTCTGTCTCATTTCATTAAATATATTCATGATATAGGTACTATAACGACACTCAAGCAGGTGTCACTGTTTATCAATATACGTAGAATTAGTATCTGAGATTACGTTTTCAGTGATATTCTTTCATCACATTGACATATTCGACAATCTGTATCTGATTTGTCCTCACTACAAATACAAACAACACCCATATTCTCATTTGAAGAAACGAAGAGAGAAGATTCCAGAGGGTATCTAGAGAAATGAAAACTGTGTTGATGACAAAGATGAAGAAATTTCATGTGAATAGGACAAGAAGATTCAATTTGAAATTATCTCCTTGTAAGGAATCAGAAGGGAAATCATCAACTTTTGGCTTTCTGTCTTTGGAAATTCGTCCAGTAGATCCTTATGATCGATATTTTTGGTATATTGGAAAACCTTTGGGAGGAGCTAGAACATAACTTGGAGGGCTTAACCTCTCCAAGCTCCCCCTAACTTCGCCACTGTCAGAATTGGAATCAGAGTTTTTAAGTGTTGAAAAAATTCATTCGACCATTTGAAAAAACATAGTTAATGATGGCTCCGCTAAGACGAAACATCGGATCAATGATCTATCAATACCAGGATGAACGAAAAATAGTGGCAATGATAATATGCCCTCCATTTTGTAAAATCAATCAGAATTGAGTAAGAAAAAAATAAGAAGGAACTTGCGAATATTCCGTTTTTTCGAATATCTTCGGAAATATTCGGAACTTCCAAACTTCTGAGGCGGCATTTCGATCAGCATCAAACTGCGTAACTTTGCCTCAATTCAACGACTTGTATCTGTTATGGTTACCAAGATCCCAATGATACCTATCCCTCGAATTTCAGGCACCCTGTACATACATACAGATATTATGCAAAAAATATCTGTTCAGATTATCCGCGCCTCGTCCAGTCCTGTGGAGCCCGAATAATCAATGTTCTACTGTTGTCTATCATTATATCATTATTATCATTATTATTATTATTGTATTATTGATATTTTGTCCTTATTATTTGTTTATCTCATATGTAGTCATATTTGCGTTTTTATCATTTAATTAATATTTGTTCTATTCGTCATTCGGTTGTCCCCTCATGAGCTGCCCTATGGATAGTTATTCGAATTCATTCCCCATCTTAGGCGAATTTCTCAGTTATTTCAAAGCCCTCCATCAGATGATATCAGTTTCTTGCATTCGTAGGTATATCAGTGAATAAATTCGTGTTCGATTGTATTTGGAAATTAGGACTCCTTCACAAACTATCATCATATGGCTTTCCACCTCAAGTATGCCATCTCTTATCGAATTTTCGTTTAAGGCAGATCGTTCCACGTGGCGGTGGACGGTACATCGTCTGATGGCATTGCCAACAATTAAGGCGTTCTACAAGAGTCAATTTTGGCACCAACATCGTTCCAACGCCACCAAAATTCAAGCCTGTATTTTCTGTAGAAAGACAGAACTCAGTATATCTGGTATAAAGATGTCTGGTACCACCATTCCCACCGAGTCCAGAATATCTTTGCTCGATATTTCCATCAGTTATACTCTTTTATAGAATGATCATGTCAGATCCATCGTGAAAACTGCTTCACAAAAACCCGGATTTTGTTCCGTGCGAAAAGCTAATTAACACCTCAACAGCTTCTGATGATTTACAAAGCACATATACGGCCTGTTCTGGAATACTGTATCTACATATGGGGTTTAGCATCTAAACATACGCTGATGCTCTTAGATTTTATTCAGAGAAGAGCCATTTGCCTCTTTGACACCATTGAAACACCGTAGAAAAGTCGTCGACCGTTCACTTCACTATACACGGGAAAAGTTCTTCAGATATCTCTGCTATCATTTCATCACTAGCAATCCAGTCAGACAAATTCGACAAGCCCAGTAATCTAATCCTTTGGTTATTAACCTTGGAAAATGTCGAACAGCACTTTATTATAACTTGTTTGTCTATAGAACGGCAAAGATCTGGAATTCATTGCTTAAGGAAGTATTCCCAAGAAGTTATTATATCCAAAAGTTCAAAAAAATCCAATACCTACCTCCTCTCTCTATCCTACCTAGGTGCGCACGATGTTCCTCGAACCCTATGAGGAATCCCTTTCGTACGCTCTAAGCTATAAAAAAGTCCTTCTACTTCAGTGAATGGTCATGCTTGATAGCGTGATATTATTACTATTAGGGTTGGGACGAATAACAGCTTCATGATCTGATAGCTCATCATGATTGACCACTGATGTTAAGACCGAAATCTTTATATTAGTGCGAACATTATCGATAATTGTAGATGAAAATTTGGAAATACGGGTAAGCATCAATAGATTGACACATTCTAACATGTTGATCAACATTTGAGTTTCAAAAGATTCATTGTTTGCATAATTCATTAGGTATCGAAATGTTTCAGAGTCATTTTAGATTTTATTTTTTCGAAGATAATGGAACACCTCCCGACATGGCTTATCTTTGGGACAACCACAAAGCCAGCATACTATGCAGAAGGAGCTCCAACCAGAGATGTATGAAATATACTTACTTCCTTAACAATCATGGTATGTATTTATCAATAATTTTCGATAGGTTCTATGAAACATCGATTTTATACCTGCAATTGATGGATTTATAGTTATCGGTATTATTTCATCTACAAGTTAGGACTTGATTTTACTCATATCTTTGAAGTCGTAAAAAATTGAGAACGCTCTGATTCTTCGAATTTCATTCCTGGGTGGAACTCTTCCATCGTATATGTCATCTTCGTACTGTTAACTCTTTCATCTCTAGCACTCCCTATTTCAGAATTTCCGAATACATCGGTTCAATGCGATTGAGAATTGAAAGGTTTGCGACTTTTTTGTTCAAGGTCAAATGCCTTCAAATTGGAAGTCATATTTCCACCAGGGTAAGATGCAGTACTCATTAAAACGATATACAGGTGTGTATCTGAAACGTCTTCACAATAGCCTACCTACTCCATATTCCTCAGACCAAAAATACTATGAAATGCTCAGTTTGGGCGCTGTACAGCTCTGAGCACAAATAAGACACTCTTGGAAATTTCGATTACCCGCATAGATTCCACAAAATATTGAACAAAGTGATTCAAATCAATATAGTATCGCATATTATTTTCACGTATACGATGCTCAAAAATGAGATGAACTGGCAGCTAATTTTGTTTTTTTGTAGCGACTATTCACGTCAGAGCCATCAGATGGTTTTGGTCTGAAGGATATGTGGCAGATTTTTATAAAGACCACTTTACGCTAGTATAGTGGTAAATCCAATCTTCAATAGAAAAACACAGGGAATCTCTAGCTGTCGCGTTGGACATATCGAAAGCATTCGACCGTGTTTGGCACGAAGGACTCCTCCACAAACTACCATGATACGGCTTACCACCTCAGCTATGCCATCTCTTATCGAGTTTTCTTTCAGGCAGATCGCTTCACGTGGTGGTGGACGGTGTATCGTCTGATACCATTGGCATCAATTCCGGCGTTCCACAAGGATCAATTTTGGCACCAACATCATTCCTGCTTCATATCAATGATCTGTTGGGAGTAACAACTTGCCCTATCCACAGCTTTGCAGATGATAGTACCCTCCATACTGCGTTCTCTTCCAGAATTCCCATTTCTTCCCAGGAAACTAAGAACTCACGGCGCAGGCAGGTCAATGCTGTCAATGAAGATCTTGCTGAAATCACAGCCTGGGGAACAAACAACCTAGTTGAATTCAACGCCACCAAAACTCAAGCCTGCATTTTCTCTAGAAAGGCGAAACACAGTATGCCCGATATTGTAATGTCTGACTTCACCATCCCCACCAAGCCCACCATATCTATGCTCGGTATTTCCATCAGCAACACTCTTTCATGGGATAATCATGTCAGATCCATTGCAAAAGCTGCTTCCATGCGAAAAGCACACCTCAACAGCCTCTCATGATCTACAAAGCGCAGATACGGCCTGTTCTAGAATACTGTTCCCACATATGGGGTTCATCACCAAAACATACGCTGATGCTCTTAGATTCCATCCAGAGAAGAGCCATTCGCCTGGTGGGTGACGCCACACTCACTCACTCTTTGACATCATTGGAACATCGAAAAAGGTCAGCGACCTTTTACTTTTCTATCGATACTTCCACGGGAAATGTTCTTCGGAAATCTCTGCTATCATCCCTTCACTAGAAATACCAATCAGACGAACCAGACAAGCCCAGTCAGAACATCCTTTCGTTGTCAACCTCGAAAGATGTCGAACAGCACTTTATCAAGACTCCTTCATCCATAGAACGGCTAGGCTCTGGAATTCATTGCCTCTGTGGAAGTATTCCCAACAACAATAATCTCCAAAAGTTCAGAAAAAATCCAATACCTACCTCCTGTCCCTATCCTCTCTAGGAACGCACGATGTTCTTTGAACATTATAGGGATTCCCTTTCGTGCGCTCCAAGCGATAAAAAAAAACAGGAAATTTTGCTCAAACATGTTCATAGTTAGCAATGGTACCTATCTGAAATGACGTATCCAACAAATAGTATGGGTGGAAATTGGATAATTTCTTTAAATTATATACGAATCGGAATACCTGATGAATTAGGAATAATGGACGAAACATGAATATCAGAACAGCATGAAGATTGAAAATTTCAAAATTATGAATATACTTATACAAAATAACAATGATGCTGACAGCTCGTTTCTGAGGTTGATCATTTCAATTTAGATTTCTCTTGAAAGGTTGTAAATATGTTTTTGTTTCTCCAAGAAATTGATGCAGTCTCGTCGTTGAGTCGATTTTATACAACAGTTTGAAGTTGAGTCAAATTTCCCCCTGCTCCGTCCCTGCCTAGCTATGTATCACGCACTAGAATCTAGGGCCAGCCCTTCTGAGGAGGCGAATTTTTCCTCCAAAGAGGGAAGGATGATCGATATTGACGATATTCTTTTTTGCGTACAGCGAATTTTATAAATCCGTTCAGGATTTCGGATAAAAAACATATTTTTCATTCAACTATTTGTCACAAAGCAGAGAGATGTTTGAAGCATGGATTCAAAGTCAAGACTGAATATTAAACTGATTCTTCTAAACATGTAAAAATGCAAAATTGCAAGAAAGCATTGAAATCATGAGAACGCTGACTTGGCATCTCCTGATCCTCTGTCGAGATTCCTATTGAAGAACACCAATTCCTACCCAATTTCCCTTGGTTCTCACGATGTTCTCTGAACATAACAGGATATCCCTTTTCGTGAGAAGCAGAACATAAAGAAGGAACTGAAAAGTTTCCTGGCCAGTTTCCTTCTCTTAGTAAGTTCATCATTCCACGAGGGCACGTTCCTGGTGTTCTTCCCACTAACAGGTGGACAGTTGTCATTGGAAGCAGAGATGATTGTGTCCTGTAGTCGTCCTGCAGCCATTTCTTGTTCATTCGTGTTAGATATCTTTGTTGCAATCCCCTTCAGCCCCTTCTTCAGGTCCGCCCTATATGCATTCCAGTTGGTTTCTTGACGGTTGCGATATGTATCTGTTTCGGCTTCGCTACCTAATATTTCGAATTGAATGTGTCTGTGGTCGGAACAGCTTTCCTCATCAGACACGTGTCAGTTTTTGACAATGGTGCTTATACAGTTTGTTCTCATTGTTATATGAATTACCTCTTCTCTATTTGGGGTCACGAAAGTAGTTTTTTTGCCCACATTCAATATGTGTCCAGATTGTTAGTCATGATAAATTGAAGTAGTGACATACCTCTGGAGTACTTTGTGTTCGTGCTCCCTCACGCTGCCTCGTGATGTACGGGGGAGTCGCAGCCGATGACTAACCGAGATTCAATCCCTCTACAGTCAGCCATCAGCTTCTCCAATTCTTTGGTAGGTGGTTGTTCTGGGTCATCGTATGGAAGAAAAGCCGATGCAATCACTATTTCTCTCACCCCTTCTCTCCCACCATACTTAGTTTCACTGCTGTAACGTCCCTAGAACAGAAATTCCCTAGCAGCAGTATTTTTATGTCATTTCTGATTATTATGCATGTTCTTCATTCAGCAGATGCGTGAATCAGCTTGCCTATTCCCCCAAGACCCATGATTTCTTCCTTGTTGATCCAAGGTTCTTGTATGAAGGCCACGTCGTATTCAACTTCAATTGCAGCAAGGACTGCCGAAGTTCCCTAGCCATGGTGCAGGTTCGCTTGAAGGACCTTGACCTTCGTCAATGTCCTCACCATCGAGCCACCTCAGGACCCGGAACGTCACCCTGTCCATCTGGTAGAAGGCCTTGAACTGGTTCTACTCCAAGGCCCTGAAGGATAGCTCATTGATGTAGTACGCCAGCGTTTGGACCCCCTTCTCTGATTTTCTACTCAGGAGTAGCCAGCCTTCCACTCTTAGGTCTGTGTTCTGTTTTCCTAAGCGTATGCGCGCTGTCTCATTCTGATCATTTTCTTGTCCAGGGAAGTAAGCTAGGACCTTGGGTCATAGAATATTTTCATCCTGCAACCAATATTCTATCAACATTCAATTCGACAATTCTGTATATTCTCAGAATATTCGAATAGAAATACAGAATCGTATCAAATAATGATATTCATGTTATTATTCTGGTATTTATATATGTATTGACATTCTTCCTGGGTCACCTGTCTTGTAAGCGATGTGACTGCCGCTAGCGAGACTCGTATGACTGCTGGTGGCGAATGGCAAATCGGAACAGGGTTTTCCGAACAACCACTGGTGTAACACCGGTCAGACAGAACTCTTCCTGAAGTTGACCTTCTACGTCTTGTGTTGGCAAGATGGATTCGGAGATTTTCCTTTAGCAGATTCAGGGGAAAATTGAGGTTTTGGAAGAATTTTCGGTCTCGTGAATTTTGCCCACTGGCCATGACGAGAGGCACTTGAAGTTTTTTCTGGTTCAACAAAAAGACTGTAAATCGATTTATGTCGATAGCCCTTATAGGGGATTCGTTCAAACTATTCTTATGAGCTATTGACCTTTCTTGAACGTCGTTGATTTGAGCCAAATTGATGTCACCACGCTGGAGCAGCCCTATTGTCACCTGGAGCCCTATCTCGTGTCTGTTACTTCGATGACGCCAATTTAGCCCTTCACACAAATCAAAAATATTTTATAAGCCTCCTCAGAGGTCCAAATGTGCCTTGTCTGTTTTCCAGGAATTAAATAGGTTTTAAATAAATTCTGCATTGTATTTATCTAATTGTCTGCTCACAATCTAAGAAAATAATACATTTTCATTTCTAGAATCTTACTATCAGATGAAGCATTCGGTTTTCTCAATTATCCAAACTAAAATATTTTCTTCAAATTGAGTGGCGCCCCTTGAAACTTGAATTTGTATGCATCTAGTTCTACCTCGAACTCACTTATCTGTTCTCTGATGAAAAGCTGCCGTCCGCGAATGTGATCATTTTTTCAAATTGACAGTTTGGTAGATTTATTATTGAGAATAAAAAAGGTAGTTTACGATGGGAGGTGTTTCCCGAGGCATATTACCACCAGAAATTCAAGAAGAACACCAGGTCCTACCTTATTTCCCTTGGTTCTCACGATGTTCTCTGAACATTACAGGATATTCCTTTTCGTGGAAACCAGAACATAAAAAAAATTAAGTTTATATGAACATATGTCCTAACTTGCTTCATTTTGAGATACAGGATGTCAAAGCTTGAAGTATCAATTGTTTTTATTTATAATCCCCCTGCATTAGTTTCCATGGTGCCAGAATTCAGTATGGTTAGAGACTGAGGAAGCCCTAAAATTCCAAACTGTCCACTTTGGATGTCAATGAAATGTGCATGGAATATTTGAAGTGTATTGTGGAAATATTCTGAGAACATTTGAATGTTTCATCTTGTGCTTCTAGGATTATTCTATGAATGTAGAGTCGTATTCAATAAAAAATTCTCAATCGAAAAGAGAGACTTTCGTAATCCTAGTTCTAGTTGAGTAAAACTGCCTCAGCCAATGCTTTGTGTTTTTGTGGACTACTGATTACTTGATTATATACATTTGGTAAACAATTATTTACGATAGCTCTTCTCACGCAAACAAGATGAAGTTATTGAAAATGAATATTCTCAGATATATTATTGAACACAGAAAAAATGGATTAAAATATATGAAGGAACACATTGAGGATTCCCATTCTCCATGTGATGAAAATATTAATTCTTTCTCGGTTTATTCAACAGAAAACAACTACTTTCCTGGCTATTTGCTACGTCGAACATTGAATTATATCTGTTGAATATCCAAAAAGAGAGTATGAGAAGTCATAATCCTCTAAAAATTGAGAATTGACATTATCTCTCGAATCGAATAATACAATGTTTTATGATATACAATTATAACTTACCAAAATGTTCAGTATTGAAATGAAAATTGAAATGTATAGGAGAAGAATACTTGTATGAACTCCGATTTTGATGAGCTTGGAACTTCCAAAGAAATCATTCGTGTCAATGATATGGGAATTATATCTCTCACATACAGGTTATATGACCTAACTCGAGTAAAACTCATTTCGGATCATATCCTCATCAGTAACCTGAAGTCCAGTTATTCTCTCAGCCATTCTTCATGATGAACACAATTTTCATCTCTCTTAAAAAAAAAGATGAAGTTACCCAGCAATTACACATATGTTCTTTGAACATTATAGGGATATCCTTTCGTGTGCCTCAAGCGATAAAAAGAGAATAAAAAAAAATGCATATTCCACTTACTCATGTCTCGAAACTTTCCAAGAGAATGTTTGATCCACCAAAAAAATTGTAACAGTGCAACGTATTGTTTCACATAAGTTGGTACTTGATAGTTGATCACTTTTTTATGAAATTATGGAATGATATTTTGAGGTTAGCAGACAACTTCAGGTTGGTTTTAGATGAAGATAATGTTATGCTTTGCATAATTATCCCACAGATTGCTTCAGATTCAAAATTTAAATTCATTGTTTATTGTTTATAGAGGTATTGAAATATCTCAAAAACATGTTCACCAGTTAAGTAGATATCTGTCTCTACAATCACGATCTATCTCTAGATGTCCACACTGATGCTTAACGTGCATTCATGTATGTAAGTGACACCTTCCAATTTGAAAGACTCCTGAGTCATAGAACATTTCATGACACATTCATGTGCAATTTCTTAGGATCCAGGATAAAACCCAGATACTTTACCATTCGCTGCCATGCTCAGTGTACTTCGTCGAGATGGCACGTCCTCAAGTGCTGATGTCTTGTTCTTCTTGGGAAAGGTACCACTGTGGTTTTTGATGAGTTGATACTGAACTTCACTTAGAGGCACTAACTTTCCGTGGTCTCTAGCTTTCTTTTTATGAGATCGCAGAGGGTTCCTTCGAATCTACCCTGTATCATAATGACTTTGTTGTCAGCATAGCCAAGACAAGTGAATCCGTTTCCAGTCAGTATTTCGAATAGTTCGTCTACTACGAGACTTCACATCAAGGGTGATAGTACCCCTCCTTGTGGACATTTCCTGCTTGTGCTGACCTGAAAAATGTTTTAACCCACTGTCGTTTCAGCAGTTCTTGTGGCCAGCATTTGGCATATCCACTCGGATGTGGTTCGAACAATTTATTTGTTCATCAGGGCCCTTTTGATTGCTTCATGAGTGGTGTTATCGAATGCCCCTTATATGTCTGAGATATCTATGTCTATGACCGTTTCTTTATGCTCAAACGATTGCTGGATGTTTTTTGTCGACACGAACAGAGCGGTTTCCGTCGATCTGCCCACCCTATACTCGTGCTCTCTGGGGTGTAATCGTACTCTCTTCAGTATCTCGGCTCTAATAAAATTTTCTACGGTCTCCTCCAGTGTCTTCAGTAAGAAGGATGAGAGACAAATCGGTCTGAACGACTTCGGGTGGGTGAAGTCCTTCTTCCCTACTTTGGGGATGAAGGTTACTCGTGCCCTCCTCCAGTTGCTTGGTATGTACCCGAGCGCTAAGCTGAATTTAGCGGCTCTGACAATGAACGGCAGAAGTTCCGTTCGTCCTTTTTGCAAGAGAGCCGAAAATATGCCGTCGATTCCAAGGGACTCAAATGGTTAGAAGGAGTCAATTGCCCACTTCAAACTTTGGGAAAGGGCATATGTTTTTTGCTACTCTCCAGTCTTCTTGTTTTGCTTTGCTTGGGTTCACCATTGGCCCGTCGTGATCATATGGTGTGCTACCTGGAAAGTGCGTCACCAGTATGAGGAAAGCGCGTTTCTCTTCATCTTCTGTGAACCTCCTATCTGTTCTTCTGAGTGACATTGGCTATTGCTCTCTGCCCTGCCATATTTTTGTCCAATCTGGCTGCTGCAGAGACTGCGTTGATTGTCTCACAAAAGTTCCTGAAGCTGTTCCTCTTGACTTTTTTTATTTCTTTTGTTTGTCAACCTCTCGGTGTAGCCCTGCCAGTCTCCGTCCCGTTTAGCTCAATGGAAAAACCGGCAGACTTAGGATCTGCAATTATACAGGTATTCATTCCACCGTATGGTCTCACCGTGTGATTCAATTTCTTGGCTGGATTCAAATGTATCCATAATTGCTCCATTAACCGCTCTCAATGTCCGCCGACGTGACTTTTGCCATGAAATTTGATCTGTTCTCAGTCGCTTTTCAGATTGGTGGTGTATTTATCTCAATCCGTGTTTGTTGGATTTCAAGTGGAGGTTGTTTGTGTCACAAGCCCATCCAAGTCAAACATGATAATACTGTGGTCGGAAAGGAATGGTTCGTCTGAGACCATCCAGTGCCTTACCATTCTATAAATGCTTGGGCTGCCGATCGTTAACTCTGATACTTCTTGTCTAACCATAGTTACAGAGGTAGGGGTGCATTCTTGCATTGAATACTCTCAAGCTGGCCGCGAGTACGAATTCTAGCAGTTGCTTATCTCTCTGATTGGTATCCGTGCTGTTCTAGATGGTGTTGTGAGCGTTGCCGTCGCAGCCTAGCAGGAGTGTTGGGTTACTCCTAATGCAGTAGTCGGATAGCCTTTGTACTTCTTTTGGTGGTGCTTGTCCATCTCCAGCGAAGTATCCTGAGGCTAATACTAAGTCGAGGTGTGATTGCCCTTTGCGTATCTTGGCCCAGAATGGTACTAAATCCCTCGTCATGAATCCTGGAAGGCAAACATAATTGATATTATTTTTTCTGTGACGGAAAAAAAATGGCATTTCATCTCTGTTGGCAGGTTATAAAATGTCACTTTTCATAAATTAATTCCTTCCCGTAGGATAAAAGTTAGTACTTTTTTCCCGGATATATGTCACATATATATCCACTGTTGATGGCTTTTGTTGTGCAATACTTTCGAGAAATGAGTCAATAATACCTTCTCCGAGAAAGAAATGCAAGTATTTTCATCTTCCACTCGACTTCGCGGTCACGTATATTACTAAACAACCACTAAATTCGCAAATTTTTGAAATCAAATCACAGAATTAGACTGACAAAAGTGGCATCAGATATTTGATTACTTCAAAAGAATGATGCTCACAACGCAGGTCCCTACTGTTGAAAACTTAAAATTTCCTGTCTATAATTTTCAGATTTCGAAATAATGAATATCTTTTCAATATTGACTCGTCCCTTCTTCTGTCGTAGAAAAAAATTGTGTATTATACTCGGGAAAAATATTAGACTTCTGCTCTTGGTTTTTCGATTGAATTCCATTATCTTTTACAGTTACCAATATAACGTACTCATGTGTCAAGGTACATTACCAGGACGGCGGAGACATCGACTACGGCTGTTTCAACCAGAAATTGGATGGTGGATATAAGACTGAAGCTTGCATTTGTGAATCCACAACGGGAATATACCCACCTTGCAATAGAGGCTCTTTCATCGAATCTCTTTCATATTCCTTACTTGCAGCAATATTACTAGTATCATTCTCTAATCTATTCCAATCTAGAAGAGCATGAAAAATAGAAACAAGATACCGAAGGTAGGCTGTGGAGCATTATTTCAATAACAACGTTCAACAAGTATCAGGGTGTATGTATAATAAACCAACTGAATGGTGCACGAAAAATTTACATATTTTTTTACTCTACATGGTATTACAATACGTGGAATAAATATCTTATACCGAAAAATAGAAACAAGATACCGAAGGTAGGTTGTGAAGCATTATTTCAATAATAACGTTCAACAAGTATCAGGTTGTATGTATAATAAATCAACTGAATGGTGCACGAAAAATGTACATATTTTTTTACTCTACATGGTATTACAATACGTGAAATAAATATCTTATACCGATTCCTTGATATTGTTTATTTTAACACGGATATTCATTATGACCAATGAAAACTCGTACCTATCTCTCGTTCTGCCATTTTCCTGTGAGTAAACACATCGGATGATCAAGACCAAGCTGCAGAAAAGAAAAAGAAGATCCACATCCTCTTCAATTTCGATCACATTCCCGCAAGGGCGTAGATATGAGGGGGTGAATGAGGTAATAAGTACTCCCGCCTCCCCAGAACCATGATAAAAAATTCAGAATCCAATCTGAATTAGAATCATAGAAAAATAAGTGGAGCAGCTGTAGAGAGAAGTTTTTCTTCACTCAAAAGGCTCAAACTTGGCTACGATCAACAATGAGCGGTGATAGACTTGTTGAGTTAGCATTGAAGCACATCCATAGAGATATAAAAATATCTCCAGACTCTGTGTTGAATGAGATCGCTAGTCTACCTCGGAGGCATCTGAACTTTATCATCCAGGTAGTTTATGATTATGTATTTTGAAAAGAAAAAAATGAAACTGAAGAAAAAATGTTTTGATCTATTCCTCCCCTCCACAGAAAAGTATCTACGACCTTGCATTCTCATAAGATATGCTTCGATCAAGTATGAATCATCTGTTGTTTGTTGTCATCTTAGTCTCAATGCCCACGAGTCCGAATGCAGAATACAACTGATCAATGAAGCGTCGTTTATGGAAATCGTTGATAGGTAATAGTTGAATGATCGAAAGCAATTTTGTTGCAACAGACGACAGCGTAGCGACGAAATCGTTTGGAGGTTCTGGTACTCCTGAGGGCTCCATCTTCAATAGATCCATAAAACACTACTAAAAACTTTCTACAGTGTGTCCATTTAGTTTGAATTCTTCGATATCTCGAAATCTATTATCACAAGAGGAAAACTTTAAGGAAAAAACTTTTTCAGTTGCTAAAGTTGCTCATTTCGAAAATATTTCCAACAAAACTGGGTGTTTTATAAAAGCGGGGCAACTCGAAGACGAGTTTTTTCAAATGGAACACCCAGTATTGTTCATTGGGAATTTATTCCGCTTAAGTTCAGCTCTACATCGCTGCAGAAAAAATGGAATTTGGTTGCGGCGTTGCCAAGTTATAATTGATAAACCCATTTTTACTACTGTTGAAGGGTCATGTTCAATTGGGTATGGTATATTTATTTATTGAAATTTCGAAAATATTTTCGGCATGCAGTAGTAGCATGGTCTCACGTATACAAATTCAGTAATCTTGCGAGATAATCCTCTACAGGGTGCTAAAATTTACATTCTGAATATTGTAAGATTCAGACGACGATCATGACAATTTTTCAAATGGAACACCCTGTATTTTTCATCACGGATTCATTTCGACACTATTCGCCTTTTCATCGCGAAAGAAAAAATCAAAATCGGTTGCGGCATTTTCGAGTTATGAATAATTTCCTTATTTTTACTACTATTTCGGGGTAATTTGTACGTCATGATGGTTTCTTAATTTGATTTGAGTGTGGGAATATTGTTTGCCATATGACATTTGAGGTTCTACATAGATCATTCAGGTATTTTTGTGATATGTGCATCGTCCAAATTTGAAATATTCCGTAATCTTGTTACTTATGATTCAAATAATATGTGAAACAAACAAACATGCCAAAATCAACGCCTGTCTTTGAAATAACTCCTACAATACAAACAATGAAGATGCGGATTGCGAAAATTAGGATTTTTTTTTGAAATTTGAGCCATATTTATTGTCGTTATTCCCACAATCCAAATCTCCATTTAACTTGAAGAAGGTAAACATAATGATACAAACAATAAGTCAGCAACATTTCGAATTAATCCAAGATATATTTGATTGTGGCGATGTTTGACAGATCATCACACAAATATAAGTGTATTCCGAAAAAAAATTCAAACTTGGAGAGCCTGTAAAGGTGTAAAGGTTCCTATTGTAAAAAAATATATGGATGGTCAATGAACAATGTGATCATACCGTAACAACGCAATATTTCCATAATACAAATAAATGAAAGAACTAGGTATGACGTACAAATTACCCCGAAATAGTAGTAAAAATAAGGAAATTATCCATAACTTGACAACGCCGCAACCGATTTGGATTTTTTCTCCAGCGATAAAAAGGTGAAAGATGGCGGAATGAATTTTTGTATAAAAATACAGGGTGTTCCATTTGAAAAATTCTGATGAATGTCATCTGAATCTTGCAAATTTCTAAATGCAGAATTGAGCACCCTGTTGAAGAACATGTCGCAAGATTACTGGATTGGTATACGTGGGACCTTGCTTCTACCGTATGCCGAAAATATTTTCAAAATTTGAATAAATGAATATACCATGCCCAATTCAACATGACTCTTCAATAATGGTAAAAATAGATTTATCAATTATAACTTGGCAACGCCACAACCGATTTCAATTTTTTTTACAGCGATGTGAAGGCGACCCTCGGCAAAATTAATTCCGAATGAACAATACTGGGTGTTCCATTTAAAAAAACTCTTCTTCGAGTTGCCCCGCTTTTATAAAACACCCAGTAATATTTAAAATATTTTTGAAATGAGCAACTTTAGTAACTGAAAAAGTTTGTTCTCCAAAGTTTTTCTCTATAGGTTATGGCTTTCGAGATATCGAAGAAAATGGACACACTGTTTTACCACTAACCGAACCGATTTTTTAACGCCTCGACACTTGTTTCGCAAACTATGTTAGCATCTTCATGAGAAGATTAGAACTCAGTTTTAATTGAATTGTGACATCACTGTAATGTTTATATGTTTCACTCTATAAACAATTACGCATCACCTGAATCATCTGAATTATGTTGAGTGATATGGGGGTTCGTTAATGATATGAGCGAAGAAAATTGTACTTGGCATCTTTGAATTTCGAGAAAATAATTAAATGAAAAATACCGATTTGTAACTTCAACGCCCTGTATCTCAGAATCTGTTCATCAAAGAACTTCACGACTCTGCAGGTTCAATCAGTTCATCGAATTCTACAACATACTGAAAATTTAGAAAATTTCACCGAGAACCATTTTACGTACTAAAAGTGCGGGGTCCTTTATCATTACTCAAGCTACTCGATATTGTTGTTCATTGTAATCAATAAAATACAAATGTACTGAAAACTATTGTTTTATTTTCACATCGAAATATTATCGGCATTACACATCACGCGGAAATGCCCAATTCACCCCCTTTCTCCCACTTCATCTTCAGTGTCTGGAATCACCCCCAAGGGGTAATTCCGAATCAGGCTGTTTGGTAGCAAATCGAAGATTTCATAAAGAAATTGTTCCAAGTCTTCTTCAAGGAATTGCTCCAAAGTAATGTTGCTGTATTCATAGCGGGCACATAGTAGAAATCCAATTTTATATTTTTCAGCTTGGTTGAGGAGGCGCTGAACTTGTACTTGATCGAAGCATACACTCATATCATAATTCCCTGCATGTAGTGTATCACGCTCCAAATCCATGAATCGACATTTCAACCTCCTCACAGCTGATCCGATATCTTCCACCGTAGGCCAAAACTGACTAGAATAATTCATACACATTTCGGGAACGTGTGCTGCACAAGAGTGATCAATTCTGTGAATAAACAAAATATTCAGGTAATGGATCACGGTGGAAAAATGTAATGCATGATTCCAATGTATGTAGCCAATATAACATGATTCGCGATAAAGTGATGGTGTTAATGTAAGAATTATTATATAATTTTCAAACTATATCGAAAAACTAATTGAGGAAATATGGAAACTATTTGTCAAATACACCCCCCCTTGACGTCAAACTTAATGAGAGCCCGCGTCTTTGCACCTGCAAATGAAGGTTGGTTCACTCTGACCCAAGTACGTTATTAAAGTATTAACGCCGTTAGAAAAATTGATCTCATCAACATCGCTTTCTTTCAAAAGGTCTACAACTCTTTTTGGTAACCAACATTTTAAGCTCACCTCAGTTTCTTCATCGTACAATATAACGGTGCCACTTCTACCGAATCGAGTCCCACATAACTATATTTTCCTGATTATAAAACTGTTATTCAGTGGTAGCGACGATATTAGAATTTGTTTGATAATCTCATTTTCCTCATTAATTCGACTATTGATTGCGACTAGATCAATTTTAGGAGAAGCCATTTCTATTTTTACTTGTCGAGTGAAAGAAGGAATAAAATATATATAAATAATTGAACTTACGTAAATCTGATATCACACTTTATCGCACTTCCACTGATCTGACAAGATTGTTCAGCCATTGTCGATCTAAATGAAAACCTAGTAGGCGACCTAGTGCGAGGAGGTATTATAGCTCCTGCCAACTAAGTACCTAACTAGGTTGTCATCTAGAACGACAATGGTTCAGCCAGCAGTATTTTCGGAAAAACTATGCTCTTGAAGATGGGGATTCTGTATTTATAGAAACTTGGACATGGAATACCCCACTACACCATCAAACATCCTTGAGAAGAGGTACACATGCGCACGAAAATTACTCTCCTCAAGGTCACCACTACGATTCTCCGAGATGAAACCTTCGCCTCCCTCCCAAGGTCACTCCCAAGGTCACTCCCAAGGTCGCTCCGTTCATATGTTTATTTATTATATTAATAAATTACACATTTTCATATAAAACAAGTAGTCTATTATTATTAATTCGCCATATTAGGAATGCTTATATTACCCTGTTGTAAAATTTGTAAAATTGTTGAAAATAACATACTGATGGGACGAAAAACAAATATATAAAGAATTATTTAGTTACAATCATGGTTAGATGAGAGGCTACTTATTACCTCATGAATGAGTTTGAATTTTCAAATCCAACGTGGTTGAAACGATTTTAACGAATCTGAAAGATATAGGTTAGCATGATTCTTCTTCTTCTTTTCCTTAGGTTGACATGAGCAGGTCGTAAGTCAGAATTCTTAAACCTTATGGTACCTACTGGTGTTAGTAATCCTCCAAATCTCAACCCAATGGAA